AATAAATAAAAATTTTATCTGTATATGTATATATAAAAATAGTGTTTTTGGTAGTAGTGATAAAACTTGTTGGTTGAAGATACAGAATTCATTAAGTATATTTGGGTTAATATTACCTTGAGTTGCTTATATTTTATGAAGTTATTTGGTGCTATTTCCGAAGTTAAATGTGAGTTTTGTCTTACTAGATTTTATCTTATTCTCAATTTACCAAGAATATGATGTGGTGTTTTCGTTTTCTTGTCTTTTCTTTTCTTTAATAGAAACTCTTAGTCCAGGTATTGGTAAATTTTGTATTTTTTTAAATTACAAAAACTATAATTTATGATTTGACTATGGTACTCAGTTATTCTTGGTGAATTTACTTTTATTTTTTCAAAGTCTTTTGTGTTTGTGTTTTAATTAAAGTATATATTGCATCCACCACCTGTCAGTTTTTTGCACTGTGGTGACTTGGATGTTGCTCTTTGGCTGGAAGGTATTCCGCCAGTATTTCAAATACCTGCAGAGTCACGCATGGTGGGCAGGTGTCAGTGGAACATCCAGACTAAGACTAGGAAGAAAAGCCTGGCGATCTACTTCCAAAAATTAGTCAGTGAAAACCCTAGGGATCACAGAATATTGTTAAAGACTTCAACTCGCTTACTTTGGACACATCAGGAGGGACCAGTCTCTGGAGAAGAACATCATATTTGGTAAAGTGGAGGGCCAGCAAAGGCGAAGGGAATCCTTATGAAGTGGATTGGCACGGTGGCTACAACCAAGGACTTAGGCATACCAGTGATTATGAAGATGGTGCAGGACCAGCCAATGTTTCGTTCTCTTATTCATGGGGTCACCATGGATCAGTGCTGACTAGATGGCAACTAACAACAACCACAAGTATTGCATGAATTATAAATATGCACAGATAGAAACTTGTTATTTCCAAAAGTGGGTTTATACTGTTGGGTTTTATAATTCAAAGTTTAATCTAAACTTTCTGCTTTTGACTTTGAGTAAGCATTTAAAAATCATGGAAGACCTTTTCTATTATTTTACCTAATGAAAAAGCCTTTAGTCCCTTTTGAAAATCAGTAGGGCATTTGCATTGGGATAATAACTTTTTCCTCTTTTATTTTGAAGGAAATAGAACTTTTCCCTTGTGCGCTAAGGCTGGATTTCACGCCAAAGTTTAGATAAATTTCTAGATTTCTACTGTTCTTACGTTTACATTTTGTCACTTCTCAGTCTGTGGGTATGTGTTAACAGCGGGGCTTCGAAGCAGTTCTTCCCGGTTCGGTCGTGGCTAAGGAAGCGACACTGGAACAGACCTGAATTTTTAAAATGTGGGTGAACTGGAATGATAACCAGAACAAGAAAAATTACAGGTCGAAGCTCTGCTAGAAACTTAATCTTTCTCTTAGAAAACAAACCAAATCTCTTGCCCATTGGATTTTGAGCAGAGTTGGAAACAGAAGTGCCCTCCTCAAAGATGGCAGCAGACCTCACCACATAGAACATGTGTCACTCTCCTCAGTCCTGCCGTAATCCAGTGTCACACATTAGGCTCCTGAGATGGCTCGCTGCACCTCTTCTGAGTCTCCCATTCAAAGACTTCGACCTATAATTTTTCCTGTCCATTTATCATTCCAGATCACACAAATTGTAAAAATTCAGGTCTCTTCCAGGTTTTTCCATCAACCATGGCAGAACTGGTTTGAAGCCCTGTTTAACAGTTACTAACTCTCTTCTTCCTCCAGATATTGCTGATGTTTCTGTCAAACAATGCCAGCAACGGTATGAGGACATGAAACATCGCTGTCGTGATAATGAATATATTTTTAATGCAGAATTTATAACTGCTGATTGTTCAAAGGTATAGTTTTTTTTTTTTAATTTGCTTTTTACATTTTTACTTTGAGTAAATGATTTGTTTTAAAAATCAACTAATTTTTTTCATGTCCTTTGAGACATAAATCCTAGGACATGCGTTTTTAGTTTCAACAAGAAATTTTATTATGATAAATTTCCTTAAAAGAGTGATTGGGTACTGCAGGACATTTTTGCTTTTAATAACGTGAACTTTTGAAATCATTTGTTGCTTTTCTATTTGGATTTATTTTCTACTATTTTGAAGTGTTTAACTGAGCTTATAGTATGTTTTGTTCACCTTATAATTTATTACGGAAATTTGCCAACATAAACTATGAAGTTTAAAAACTGTAGAGGCACTTGAGTGGTGAAAGTCCCACATTGAACTTTATGTTCTTTGACTCATTAGCTCACTAAACTATTATAAGTACTTACTCATACTCATTTTGTTTATGGTTTTGAAAATAAGGAAAGGTAATGTACTGCTAGAAAGTTGGAAATCTTTAAAACAGGTTTGCATTTTTTAAAAATACCTAAGGCCAGTCTTTTTGTTTTGTTTTGTTTTTTTATCCTAGGTTATTGGTAAAACTATTGTACTTTAGCTTTCAGAGTAAAGCCAATTGGAAGAATCAACTCCTTTAAATGTCATTTGATATGCTTTTTTAACATCATTTCAGAATCCGTAATTTTTTAAGTTACTATAAAATTAACAGTCAAATTATTCTGTTGAACCAGAGTAAGAGAATGATTTCTTTATGGCCCTTATTAAATAGAACTAATGTGAGGGAAAGGATAGGTTGGTGAGAGGGCTTGTTGTTGTGTTATTAGGATCTGTTAAATCAATTTCCAACTCATAGTGACCCAATGTGACAGAGTAGAACTGTTCCACAGGGTTTACAAGAGCAGATTGCCAGGTCTTTTCTCCTACAGAGCTGCTGGGTGGCTTCAAACTGCCAGCTTTTCAGTTAGGTCATATGTCTACTTTTTTCATAAGATCTCTAAATTCTAGAAATCAAGTTACTGATAAGTTTTTATCCATATTGTAGTTACTTTAAAATCTTAACCCATTTTAATTTATTTCAGGAACTTTTGATTGGCAAACTCCATGATCCAGAAATGTGCTTTGATATCTGTAGTTGTCAGTTTGCCTGTCATTACTCGTTTGAGTCCTATGAGCAAGCTGACATAATGCTCAGGAATGCTTGTGAGAGACTTAGCCCTGGAGGCTATTTTATTGGTACCACTCCCAATAGCTTTGAGCTGATGTAAGTACTTTTAAGTATATTATGGTTTACAAAATATTTAGTACTAAGCTTACTTAATAGTAGCAAATGTTTATCAGAATTAGGGTTTATACAACATAGGATGTTAACCTTACTTTAAAATAGTAAATTTTTATCAGAAAATAGTCATTGCTCATCAGAAGTTTTTAAATGTACCATTTGTTTCTTTCAATTAGACCAATTTTATTTGTTGTAGTGTGCCATCGAGTCGATTCCAACTCATAGCAACGCTACAGGAGAGAGTAGAACTACCCCATAGTGTTTCTTAGGCTGTAATCTTTATACTAGCAGATAGCCAGGTGTTTTCTTTCATGGAGCCGCTGGGTGGCTTTGAACCACTAACCTTTCTGTTAGCAGCCCCGTGCTAAACCATTGTGCCACCAGGGCTCCTTCCCAATTAGGCCAATTAGGACCAATTAAATTTACATAACTGAATTAGTGAACAGCTATTGTTTGAAAGACTTATGTGTTTAGAGTTGAATAAGTGCTGATGATGTATTTGAGTAAATATTTGAAATCTAAGTTCAAAAGATAAATTTACAGATGAACTTTTAAAACTTAGCCCTGTGTAAGTTGGAGATTGATGTTATATCAAGGTAGAGTTTATAGAGGTAAACTAACTGCAGATCAGATACTGAGGCACAAGATGGAACCATGTATCAGGATGCCAATATTACTTCCAGCCTAATTTCCAGACTATTAATGCTCTTTAATTATATTGCCTCTTAAAAGTAGCCCAGATTCAGTTGAAGAAGTTAATTAAACACATTTTTTATTTCATAGTGTAGTTTTTTCACATGCATCATCTGATCAAAATAAGTTTATGTAGCGGTCTGAGCTAATAACAATTTTAATCTTTTTCTTTTGGTGGGTGGGATGTAACCCTTACAGAAAACGCCTTGAAGCTTCAGAAACAGAATCATTTGGAAATGAAATATATACTGTGAAATTTCAGAAGAAAGGAAATTATCCTTTATTTGGCTGCAAATATGATTTCAACTTGGAAGGTGTTGTGGATGTCCCTGAATTCTTGGTCTATTTTCCATTGCTAAATGAGTAAGAATGTCAATCTGTTATTATGTCTTTTTGTCTTAGGAGAGAAAGAAAAGGAAAAACAAAAAAACAACTTATTCATTCCTTATTTTAAATGTGGCCCAAAGAAAAGGTATAGCCTTATAAAAAAGACTGTAACCTCAGACCCAGGATTGGTGCCATAGATCTCTTATAGCCTTGCTTGTTTTTTTTTTTTTTGTTTTTTTTTTCCTCATTTTATGGAATTATTGAATCCGATGGGTGAGAAAGGGAGCCTATTGTCTTCAACTTGTGGCAGAAAATACCTGATATTACAAGCAGCAGCAGATTTTTTTTTAGGTTTAACTGCTGGTAACTCAGATAGTATAAAACGAATCTTCATAAATCAAAGATCCTCCTTTTTTGGGACAGGACAGGTATTAAAAGTTGTTTTGCATTTCACTGTAGCTTTGAAATTGCCTGTGTCTCACAGGCACTGTTGGTAATAAAAATCCTGATTCAGGAATGTGTTAACTCATGCACCTCAATCCCTAGGAGTCCTGGCAAACCATAGACATGGGAAAAGTTGGGGGTACCAGGCTTTATCAGGTAAGGCTTCAAGGCCTTGTGATGCACCTTGGTCTTGGGGTTTCCTGGTAGGGAAAGTATAATAATAAACCTAAATGTAGAACACTGCTGATCTTGATGGGCTACTTTACAAGAAAGAAAATTATTTTGAATATTAACTGAGAAAAAGAGCAGCTTTATTTGCTTATTTTTGGTTGGTGATTATTTGAATTATGAGTGAATCAGTTTGTAAAATTATGGGTACAGGATTTTCAGGAGTTTTACAATATAAACATTTTATGCAGTAATACAAGACAATTAAGTAGCACTGTCATTTAGCCTAAGGAAAATACATGCATAATTTATAAACATAAACTATAAAATTAAAATTTTTAAATCACATTTTGTTTTTGTGTTCTTAAAATTAGTAAAGTTTTGGGAAATAGTGTTACTCTTCAACTTTATAAAAGAAGAAATTAGATAAATGTTTTCAGTATATGACTGGTGTTTTTTTTGACTTTCAGTTAATGAAGGTGGAGACTTTAAGGTACCCAAGAAGATAATAAAATGAAAATTTTTTTAGTTTGTTTTTTACACAGAACAAGCACTACCAGCTTCTGCTACTTAAATTGCCTAATGATGATAAGTTTATAAAGTCACAAGTCATCGGTTTTAATATCTAGTTTTTTTCTGTATTATTATTTATTGAAACAGGTATTAGAGGAGACACATAGGGGATTTTGAGATGCCCTTTTGCCATTTCTTTAAGGAACTGAACAAAATTATAATTTTTTTTTAATTTTAAGAAGTTTCTATTATAAGACTGGAAATTCACTCCTTAAAAACTCAGTCATATCTACAGAGTAGTTTAGAATTAAATCAGAACTTTAATCAGATGGGGATTTTAGGATCTAATGAAAAAACTTGTAAGTCATACCTTTTCTTTTAACCAAGAACTAGCTCTCTCAAGACAGGGAAAAATGCATTCTCTCAGTAAGAAAGTTGTGGACTGAGACAACTGAAAATCCTCTAATTACCGAGAGAAAATATTTGGTTCAGGTCCTCACTGACCCTTGTCTTTTGTCTCTATTGACTGCTAAAAAGTATGCTAGCTAGCTAGCTATATCATTTTCACATGCACTCTAAATGTATAGGCCTCTCATTGATTACATTCATTTTAAGTGAACTTGGAAATCATGGAGTACCTGGCAAGTACATAACCACGTGGCAAGTCTTCCACTCTGTCTTTTTTCAGCGTTTTTACAATGAACCCTCAGTATTCTTTCTCCAAATCACAGGACTTGTGCTCTTGAAATCTAAGGTTTATAAAAATTTTGGTTGTAAAAATTATGATGCTATTGCAAAAAGATTTAAGGTGAGAAATGACTATCAACTTGTTTGATAGTTTACATTTCTTAAATTTAAAACCTTAGTCATCACATTCTATATAAAGATAGCATTAATAGGGATTTATAAACCAAAACTTAGTACTATCGGACATGAAATTATCATTTTTTCATTATTATTTTAATACATATTATGTAATATTATCTACTTTTAATTTTTATCTTTAAGGATACTCACTAATTTGTTTTTCTCCATTTTCTTTTTTTCATTTTTATTGTGCTTTAGGTGAAAGTTTACAGCACAAATTAGTTTTTCATTCAGAAATTCATACACAAATTGTTTTGTGATTATTGGTTGCAGTGCCGGTAATGTATCAGCACTCTCCCCCTTTCTACCCCAGGTTTCCCGTGTCCATTCGTCCAAATTTCCTGTTGCTTCCTGCCTTCTCATCTTTGGTTTTGGGCAAGTGTTGCCCATTTGGTCTCGTATACTTAATTGAACTAAGAAGCACATTCCTCACATGTGTTATTGTTTGTTTTGTAGGCCTGTCTAATCTTTGGTTGAAAGGTGGACTTCTGGACTGGCTTCAGTTTTGAGTTAGCAGAGAATCTGGGGGCCATAGTCTCAGGGGTTCCTTCAGTCTGTGTCTGACCAGTAAGTCTGGTCTTTTCTTCTAAATTTGAATTTTCTTCTACATTTTTCTCCCACTCTGCCCAGGGCCCTCTATTGTGATCCCTATCAGAGTGGTCGGTGATGGTAGCCAGGCACCATCTAATTCTTCTGGGCTCAGGCTGGTGGAGGCGGTGTTTCATGTGGTCCATTACTCCTTTGTACTAGTATTTTCCTTGTATCTTTGGTTTTCTTCATTCTCCTTTGCTCTGGACGAGATGGGACCAACAGGTGTGTCGTAGATGGCTAGTCACAAGCTTTTAAGACCCCAAACACTACTTACCGAAGTCAGATATAGAACGTTTATTTCATGAAGTATGTTACGCCAAATGACCTAGATGGAATGATAACATTTCACCCTTTGGCCCCCCAAAATTCATGTCCTTGCCACATGCAAAACACATTTACCCTGTCATATAGCAAAAGTCTTAAATCAACTCCAAGTCCAAATTCCAAAAATTCATCTTCATCTGTGAAATCTAGAATACAAGTTATCTTCTTCCAAAGTGCGATGGTGGAACTACCACAAGCTAGACATTTCCATTACAAATGGGAGAGATTGAGGGGAAAGAAGGGATAATAGGTATGAAGGAAGTCAGCAGAACATATTACATTAGCTCTCAAGGCTTGAAAATTATCTTCTGTTCTCTGAGACCATTTGGACAATGGCCCTGTCTTCCAGACTCTGGGTTTTGACCGCTCTTCGAATTCTGGGTGGAGGCCCCTCGGCCCTGGGCTTCAGCTCCACCTTCAGGCCCACTTGAATGGCAACTTTGCTCCCTCACATTTGGGCGGCCCCATTCTCCTAGTCCATCTGAGTGGTGACCCTAACCCCTCAGCCCTGGCAGGCCCTGTTCTTCTGCCAATTGGGCATGGCGCCCCCACCCCCTCAGCTTTGGGCAGCAGATCCAGCCCCATACCACTGGCACTTGTGAATGGCAGCCTCACGCTCTGGAAGAGAGTTTGTGAAGATCTGACTCTTTGGAGCCTAGGAGGGTGTGACCTCACCTTTTGAGACCCCAGAGGCTGTGGCTCCACCCTTTGAGACCCCAGAGGTCATGGCCCTACCCTTTGAGGCTGAGTCAGCTCTGCTTCCTGTGTTTCTTGTCTCTAGCTTCTGCTTCCTAGTTGCTTGGTCTCTCAGCCCTGTGGGCCTCACCTCCCTTGTCTGCCCTGATGGGGAAGGTGTTCCAGCACTCTGTAGCTCCACCAGTAAGTACCTGGAGGCACCCCACTCTACCGGGAAGCCTCTTGCGCGAAGGCACTTAGCTCTGGTGCCATGGGTTGGCTCCACTGCTGTCTTACGCTGGTCTCCTGGTTCTGCTGCTGCCATTTCTCTGCTTTTGCTTCTCGTCATCTGCACCATCTCCGGTGTAACAGCTCCCCTCATTCCCTTCTGCATCCTCGTCAGAATTGTCTTTGATGTCCATAATTCCACGAACAGTCTCTTCAAGGCAGTCTGGGCTTTTACTATTAGGCACTTCATAAAATTTCCAGCCCCTATCCGTGCATAGTTTCAAAACCACTTCCACATTTGAGGTATCTGTTAGAGCAGCACCCTGCTCTCTCAATACCAAATTCTTAGTTACCTAGTGCTGCTATAACAAAAATACCACAAGTGAATGGCATTAACAAAGACAGATTTATTCTCTCACAGTCTAGGAGGCCAGAAGTCCAAATTCAGGGTGCCAGCTCCGGGGAAGGCTTTCTTTCTCTGTTGACTCAGGGGAAAGCCCCTTATCATCAAGCTTCCCCTGGTCTAGGAGCTTCTCAGTGCAGGGACCCCGGGTCTAAAAGATGCACGCTCTTGGCTCTTCTTGCTTGATGGTGATGAGGTCCCTCCTTCTCTCTGCTTGCTTTTCTATCTCAAAAGATACAACCTAATGTAGATTGAGTCCTGCCTCATTGACATAACTGCCTCTAATCCTGCCTCATTAACACCATAGAGGTAGGATTTACAACACATAGGAACATCACATCGGATGACAAAATGGTGGACAATCACACAATACTGGGAATCATGGCCTAGCCAAGTTGACACACGTTTTTGGGGGACACAGTTCAATCTGTAACATCCCCCTAGCCCATGGTCCCCAGACTTCAGCCCCAGTAACTCGGTCCCTCAGTGTGTTTGAATGTGTCTAGGAAGGCTCTGTGACTTTGCCTTGGTTAAGTTGTGCAAACTTCCCCTATGTTGTGTGTTGTCTTTCCCTTCATGGAAGATGGCACTTGTCTACTATCTACTTACTGGTTTCCCCTCCCTCATAACCATCAAAGATTCTTTTTTTCTGTGTGTAAGCCTTTTCTTAAGTTCTTATAATAGTAGTCTCATACAATATTTATCCTTTTGTGATTGACTTATTTCACTTAGCATAATGCCCTCTAGGATCATCCATGTTGTGAGATGTTTCATGAATTCATCATTGTTTTTTATCGTTGTGTAGTATTCTGTTGTGTTTATG